ATTTGGATAAAGAAGACGGTTTTGGTTTTTTGCGGTTTTGTTAGTGCTTTGGGACGGGGATGGGGAAGGGGAGAAAGTAATAAATAGTTAAAGATTCTTTGCTTTGAATAAGAACGTCTTGATTAAAAAAAGGAAAAGTTTGGAATTTGTCGGGAAATGAAACTGTAACGGAGAAAAAAATTTTTTAGGCTTTTGTGGCTTCGCATATATTGTGACTGCATTGCGCAAACGGACAGCGAAAACGAACGTTTTTGCAGGAAGTAAATTCTTTTAAGTGTTGTTTGGGCTAATGGACTGTTGTTTGTTTGTTTTAAATGGCTATGTGAAATTTTCCTATTATTTCTTAGCAGAACTACCTTTTTGTGCTCTGTTCCTGGTAGTCGATTTTGCTCAGCTTGGTCGAGAAAGTTGAGTCCTGTTTCTTTATTTTTTCTATACGCTTTTTGTTGTTTTGTAGGGCTTTGAATATTGAAAGCTGAGTAAATGTAGCAGTGAAGATCAAGAGTTGTCCAGCGTTGTGCGTAGAGCGTTAAAATGTTATTATTTGGCTAGAAGTCGGATGTTGTCGTGCGAACTTTTTCTGTTTAATTTTGTATATTTATTTATTTATTTTTTTTTTTTTGAACTGAGTAGTACTTTTTTAGTGAAGAAAAAATTTTTTTTACGCTTCCTTTTTGCAAAACTTTCATTAATATTTGTATAAAAAATTGTGGGGTGAAGTATGCAGGACTTTGTGTTGTGAAGCTTTTTCAGTTTACATAAGTGACGTCGGGATTTCGCTGTTTTCTTTTGCTTCATTCTTTTTTTACTTCTTTTTTAGGGCAATAAATTATTGTTTACCACTTTATACAAGAAGAGAGAGATCTGGCTGTCGAGTTTTAAGCTTCTCAATCAACTTTTTTTTCATCGGAACGATGATTACTAAAGCTTTTTGAAAACATTTTCTAACTGTCGCCTTTACGACACTTCTTTAGCAGAACGACAATCAGTTGTTACCGAAGAAGACAAATAATCGTGAGAGCTGTTCAGCTGAAGAAAAGTGAAGAAAGACTGGATGTGAGACCAAAAGCCATTGCTCAGGCTGATAAATTAGGAGAAAGATTTTTTTTTGTTTGGCTCTGCTTCTACCTTCGTACTTTTGGGCGTATTCTTTTGGCATCTGATGACTTTGAATTTAGACGATTTGATTTTTTCCAAGTATTTTATTCGAAGACGTCGAACGCTTAAAAGGCTTGAAAATATTTAACCTAACTTTTTAAAAAAGTTGAATTTTTATTGCAATCTGTTTTTTTAATATTGATTGTATTGCGCTGATATCAGGTTGCAAAAGTTCATTTTTCTCATGCAGGATCTATTGATTTTTTTCCTTTTTTATTTTTTTTCTTCATCTGGAATTCATCATCTGTTGATGGTGTAAGCAGTGCTAAACTTCGAGAATTATTTTTTTCTTATTTGTTGAGAACATTAGCTTAAGCTTCAGCATAGGGTTGATTTTGGTTGTTTTGCTTAGAACGATAAAATCATCTTTTAGTTTTTCTTTTTTTTATTTTCGATCTATTTACAATATGTTGCGAATTTTTAACAGAAATGCAACCAAATGTAATCAGTTTTCAAATGTTAGCTTTTGACATTGTCTTGGCATTATTTTTTTGTCCATTTATTAGATTCTGTAAGGCTTTTTAGTGAAAAGCATTTTTTTGTATGGGGCTTGTTTTTTCTCCACTTTTGTGATAAACCTTTTGTTGAAATCAAAATTAGGCATTCTTTTATTTGCAGTTTTATGCTACATTTCTAAGAATTGTGTTTTTTAAAAGGCTTGTAATGCTACAGTAACGTTTACAGGAATAGGGTGGAAAATAATTGTTGTGATTGTTAAAGGCATCAGAAATCTGCTGGTAGAACTTTTAGTGAAAGAAGACGAGAGGTGGAAAAAAAATAAAATTATTAAAATGCTATAACTTTTAGGCAAGCAATTTGCACACAAAATGTATTTTTTATAATCAAGAAATTGTTCTAACATTTTTGTTTGTTGTCATTGTTTTACTGCAGATTGTCGACTATTATATAAGTGCCGTATTGATGATGAAGGCGTAATGTGGTAAATATTTGAATTAAGTTATTCCGAAGTGATTACATTTATACTTTTTTCTGTGCCTTAGTAATTTCGTAATGAATTTATTCACTTCCTCAAAACGCTTTTTTTTTATGATATAGGGATTTTTGACAGGGAAATTTAAACATTGAGAATATTAGGGTAAAGAAGCTTGATTTTTAGTTGAATATTTCAAACAAAACTTATTTGAATAATTCAACTTGTTTACCAAATTTCGAATGCTGCTTGTAGATTAAAACTTCCTCGTTTGTGCTCTACAGTTCATTATTTGTAAACTTCGTTTAAACAAAAGGAGAGAGAAAAAAGAAGATATTGCGTCGCTATTTTCAGTATTAATTCCTCTATGGCAAGAACTACAAAAACATCGACAATAAGGAATTTAAAGTGTTTTATACGACTGATGAAAATAGAAAGCAATTTTCTTAACTGAAGAGTTTGCAGCTCATTTTGAGGGATGAGAACTATTTTTAGGATGGTGTCCAGAGAGGGAAGAAGAAATTCTAAGCAGTTTATGGTGGTCTACCAATATTATAGTTGCAAGACAGGTGCTAGCTACTATACTGTAGTAGCTTGTACTTGGCTTTAGATATCTCGGAACAACGTTGCACCAGCTGTCTCTACAGCTTTGCAATCAAACTGTAGGCTCTCACACTATTGATATGGTTCACTGCTGAAGTTTAATTTACTTGTCTATTTTAATATTGCAAATTCTTCAATTCTTTTTTATCTGTTTATTTTTTTCTCTTAGTTTCTAATTTTTTTGTTCAGGTTAATTTACACGTCACTGGAGTTGAAGTTTTTTTGTAGATTATTATGAGTAGTTGAATGAACTTTTGAAAAAAAGCGAGAACCTTTTTGTTTTGACCCAGTCAGAAATGCAAACTGAAGATTTTTTTTGAATTATTTTTGTTGTTGGCACCGCGTAAATGCGATGAAGAACGGTAAATCTTCATTGCGTATACTAGAAAATTATTAGTCTGCGATACTTTAAACGTTGTTTGAAATTTAAACATTTAGTAGCCAAGTTTGTTTTAGAATTTCAACTATTTATTCTTGTAGTTGTCGAAGTACTTTGCGAAAGAAACCTTAATGACGGGTTTTATAGTCTTTTGCAAAGTTTGAAAGCACTTCTTTGTTTTTTTTTTGTCAGGAAATTATAAGTCGGGATCATTTTTGTTAAATTATACCCTAAAATATTTTTTTTATTTATTGAAGTAGTTTTCGCTTTTTAATATTTTGCTGCTGTAATTATATTAGTTTACTATATAAAAATTTTGATTATGGAAAATAAGTTGAAGAAGGAGGATTACAAGGACCGGCTGTCTTCTCTTTCCAGGTTTTTGAAGCATTTTTGACTTTTCTAAACAGTACTGGTTATTATTTATTCAACAGATTACATGAAGCTCTTTACCCTTGGCCAGTATTGTGTGATATCAACAATTACTTTTTGTTCTAATAATTTACTGAATTATCAACTTTTTATTGCTTGTTCCAGGCGATCTTTTCCAGCTTGCTAACACGTGTTTCGATTACTATTGTATTCAGTTTAATGGAGACTTACTATTATAAGCTTTTCTGGGATTTAAATTGGTTATTGTTGTCAATGAAGATAAGAGTGAACTTTTGAAATGCGAGCAGTTGAGACAACTTAGAGGCTTTATCGTTGAACGTTGTTCTTTCAGCACTTGTTGCGCATGCTGACTTTCTTTCAGTGTTTGTTTGACCAAATTTTTGGTTCATTTGGGTTAACTTGTTGAAATGTAGCCGATGTTGAAGAAACTCGTTTTTACTCTAGATTTTGTTGAGTTGAAAAGAAAAACACTGCTGTTGACAAAAGAAACATTTTGTTCAGTTTATCTCGTCGCTTGTCCATAATTTATGTGTAAAAAGTTGTGTAATTTGATCAAAAACAGGACTAAATATTTTCCATTAAGAATCGAATGAGGCGTTTAGGTTTCATACTACGCTCAAACTAATACTTAGATTCATGTAAATTATGCTTTTAATTCTTTCAAGTTTAGCAGAAAAAATTGATTCTTTGGTTTCTTACTTCGTAAGCAGTGGTACTTTTTTCGGCTTTATTTCTTGTTATTTGGCTATCGTAAAAATGGATATGATCTGTGAGGTTTGAAGGGTTCAAAATAAATGGTTCCAAAAATTGGAATAAGATTTATGGAAATGTCGCAAGGTTTCGGAAAGAAGTTGAAAGTAGTGGTAAAAGCTTAAGAATTCTTGTTTTTTTTTGTCTTTTTTTTATATGTATTTAGAATTTTTGGAATACTTCATTGATTTAAGTAGATGGACGAAAACAATTTGATTTGTTTTCAAGAAGGGGTCGAAGAAAGGTTTTTTCCAAAAAAATTTTTTTACTCTAAAATTTGGTTTCAAAAGTCTTATTGCTTTCATTTTCCATCGTAAGAGCTGTGTCAACTACAGCTGTGGTGTTGTTGCTAAATCTATTCACCTTTTTGAATTCATTATATTTCATTTCATTTTTTTTATTTATTTTATTTACATATTTATTTATTTATTTATTTATTTTTTGGTTGTTATTATCGTTGTTGCTTAGCTCAACTTCATTTTTCGACAATGCCTTACGAGTGCGATTGCGTCGTGACTTCAAACTCAACACACTCGCGCTTTATTTCTTTGAATTGCCACAAATGCTAAATATATATCGTCGATTGAACTAAGACAGTCTATTTATTTTCTTCAATTTGGGTATCTTTTCAGATTTGTTTGAATAAATTCCTGGTAGTTTTTTTTTTCGCTAAAACAGAGCAACAGAATCAGGCAGAAATATTGGGAAGACAGGATTGAAAACGAACAACAAGGTGGAGAAGGAAAACGATAAGTGGTGGAAGATAGAAAAACGGAGCTAGAAAAAATGTTAGCAAATGGGGGGACGATGGCCGCAACAGCATCTGGAGCTGGTGTTTCAAGCGTTCTGAATCTGCGTAACGGAACAGCTGATCTGGCTGCACTCCTGGCAGCAAGTAGTAGTGGTACCGCAAGTGCAGACGGCAATTTGCCGGCGGCTAGCGGTTCACTTAATCCACTGGCTAACATGAATGATGCAGCGGCTTTGATTGGTTTATCACAGTTGTTTGCTGCACAGCACCACCAGTCATTGGTCCAACAGTTTCATGCAGCTGCCCAACAACAACAACAGAATGCCCAACAACAGCTGATACACGATAAAAAACGGGTAAATTTTGTTGTTTCCTCCTTCGATTACTTTTAGCGCTTGAGTTTTTTTTATATTTTTGCAGCTCATCTATCACATGTAAAAGTTAAATATTTTCAATAAAGCCTTTGGCTGTCATCATTTCGATATCTTCTTACCGTTATTGATTTGTCGTGAGATTTTCAAAATATTTGTTCAGTTGTTCAAATAAGTTGACAATGTATAGCAACGATGCGAAAAAATTTTTTCATTTTAATATATCTAATTTAAATGCATCTCACTTCGTTATTTTTTTTTCTTATTTTCTATTTTTACCACCATGGATGCAGTTTTTAAAAAAAAAAAAAAGTTTTGAGGGGTGGTCTGATTACTGTTTAGTGTTTGAAAAAGTTACAATTTCATTGCATGCCTAAGATGCTGCTATATTAAAGTTGTTGCTGCAGAAATCTTTTTAGTTTAAAAGCAGTAATAGTGAAGACAAAACGGTAAACTACGTGTTTTCTTATGAACTTAGACGCGAAAAAGCAATGACTTCTGGACAGACTAGTGATGAAGAAATTTTTAAGATAATTTGGAAAAATAGGTCGGGGATGATAAAAGAAGGTGATTTTTTCAGAGTTATCCGTGTACATTCCAGTTTTGTGTGTTATGCCAGAAGAATGTCCATAGTTCAAAACTACCTTGTCACATACGCCAGTGCCATGTTGCCAAACCAATGTTTCAATGTCCGGCCTGTGATTTTACATCCACATATTCTAAAAATAATGTTAAAAGTCATATGGTCTCGCTTCACGGTCTAGCGGTGAGTACTCGGTTGTTTTAATTATTTATCCTACTTAACAACTAGCGAAATAATTAAAGCACCTAATTTTATTTAGAGCTAGTTTTATATTTTTGATATGGTTCTGTTCTGCTGTTCAAATATTTCTAAAAAAGTTGACTCTACATTTGCTAGTAAACAATTATCAGGTGAAAACTTGATTCTCTTACATGTTTTTCTTTTTCAGGGTGACCCGATCAGCTATATGGAACAGTACGCAGGACAAGTTGAAGAGTACATGAAAAAGTGTTTCCCACATGTGCGCGGTAGAGGGAGACCAATCCATGGCGGTGGTCGCGTATCTCCATCGTCACCGTCATCTCCGCAGAGTGTCGAATCGAACGGGTCTAGACGCGGAAGTTTTGGGTCTAACAATTCTTCGAACACAGTACAGTTTTTATAAATAGTATCAATAATATTGAGCAGCCTTCTGCTAATTTTTGTTCTTTTTAGACTAGTCAGCGGCAATACACTCATAGCCAGCGTCGTATGAGTGCAAAGCAAGCAGCGCAACAGATTTCACTGCATGAACAGCTTATGGCGTTCGCAAAAGCATCTCAAGCGCAAAATCTGGGTTCTGAAAATAGGTGAAAAAAAGACCTCCACATTTCCTCATTTTTACGTAAAGTTTATTGGCATCGTATCTTCTGAATAATATAAAAATAAACAAGATTACCTGGAGGTGGACATCAATTTTAAAAAGTACGACAAAACAATTTTTGTAGTGCAACGGCTGCAGCTCGTGCCTTCCAAGGTTTTGATCCGGCAACACTTCTCAGCGTTTCAAGGCCATCAGCAACAGCTGATATTAAAACGGGTGTCGCTCTTAAAGTGAGTTTTTCTTTTCTGTAGTTGACGCAGTTATTGACGTGAATCAAGCCTTTGATAATACTTTATCAATCTTTTTAGTTTGAGCCGTCTGATACTTCTTTAAACAATGATATGGATACGTCAGTTTCATCGTCCGCTAATGTTGTTGATGAACCAGTACCAAGTATTTCAACAGCCAGTTCAAATAACGGTTCAAATGGTACATGTGAGTATTTTAAACTGGCCTTCTTTCTGTAATTCTTTTAGCGCGTTACTTTGACAGTTAGTAAATTTACTTCTGCATCCATTTCAATTTATTTTTAGTTGATGTAACAAGCCCGGTCAATGAATGTAAATCAAGTCCAGAGATTGAAAATATTCATCGGTTTCGCCCTGGAGAAACTTTGCAACCAAGGTGGGAAGTTTTTACTACTTTTCAAGCTTGACACTGTTCAAATTTAAGAAAAAAATTTGCATAACCTTCGTATTTCTTCAGATATTTGCCTCATCAGCTTGACTGGGAAGTTTTGACAGACGAGCAGACCGCTCAGACTGTCTTTGACACTTTCAACACTCAGTCTATTCTTGAGGTAAGGAATGGTTGTTGCGCATTTGAAACTAAGCAATCGTTGGAAGTTGGAGGGAAATTAGAATAGGCCAATGTAGCTTTTGCTTCTTGAATTACCTGTTACAACTAGGTTCTTTTTACAGAAGCTGGATCTAACGCTGTTTGAACCTCTTTTGGAAGATTCAACTTTTCTGTCGGAGGAAAAGCTGCAAAAAATCGCTGATGTCCGACAGCGTATCCATCTGCAGACTTTTGAAATAATGTTTGCGGTGCATCGGTAACGCTAAAAGAAATTAATAGGTTTTAAGGATGGCTAGGGGAGCTCTGCTTTGATTTTTAAACTCCATTTATTGTTTTTAGGTTGGATTTGGCAGTATTGTCCGCCGAAAACGTTGACTTGGTAGCAAGCATTGCACCGAGTGCAGTTGATATATTGCGATTCAAAAATTACGAGATGTCAAATTCTACTAGCACACTGGGAGAAGACGAACAATTTATTTTACAGGTATAAATAGTCTTGGTTAGATAGTGTGTTTCTCAAAAGCCACTGGGTTTTTTGAAATTTTCGCAATGGCATATTATGTCTTAACAACAATTACTCACACGTTTTTATGTGTCGTACTTCTTTAGTTATCAAAGATTGAAAGGATGGAAGAGAAGCTGCGTGCAATGTCACATATGAGTCATTTTTCTAGCCGAATCAACAAATTGAATGAGGTTTTTTTCTCATAGACTAAAAAATCTGGGTATTGTAAGTATCTATTATTAACATCCGCATTTTGCAGCAAATTAATGACCTCATGGCTGCTGCAAAATTGCTACAGAATTCTTCCGAATTTCACAATATTGTTCAACTACTGTTGACCTACGGAAACTTTGTCAGTGGAGACTTTAATGCTCAGTTAGTCAAGGGATTTCGCACTTCATGTTTGTTGGAGGTACTAAACTCAAGAAGAGTCTTTTGGACGTATAGACATCACTTTTTCTTAAATCTTTTTACAATATAATATTTAGCTGAGCATGTTTAAATTCCCTACGATGCCCGAAACGACTTTGTTAAATGTTGTGGCAGAAACTATTTCTAAGCATTTTCCTGAATTGGCTAAATTCGGAGAACAAATTCCAATCATTGAAAAGGCCGCTAAAGGTGAAACAATTTTCCCAAAAGGAATTCAATTCGTGAAGAAGTAAAACGTACTAATGAAACTTTCAATTTTTGGATTGCAGCAAATTTCATGTCTATTGCTTCAACAATTCGTGAGCTTGAAACTGGACATAGTCGAGTCCTGACTGAGATGCAGCATGGTGGTACTATCCAACTGGTCGCTGATTTTATTGAAACTGCTGAGCCGCTTTTATGTGACATTAAAGATGCATATAACACTGTAAAGGTAAAGATTTGTTGAGAAATAGGATTTTTTTTTGCAAAAATCGCTATTCTGACAGCACTGAACCTCTTACATCGGCTGTTAAATATATTCTTGTGACATTTAAAGGGCTAACTTTCAGAATAAGCTGACAAGTACACTACATTATTTTGGTGAGCCAATACCTTACGAAGAAATTGAACTGTTTCAACCAGAAGAGTTCTTCTCAAAAATCGCAGGATTCTGCCGAAGTCTTCAGAAAGCTCTAGTCGACCTGCACTTGTAACCTATAGTGACTGAACGTAATCTGTAGTCAACGTTTTTTGGAATGATTGAAGTTGGGTTAGAACTGCTCAGCGAACCAGATCCTTTGTTGTAAGTTCCAACTGTAACATGATGACATGACTTCAATACTGCTAAACAGATTTCTCGGTTCTATATTTTTGAGCCGTGTACTTTGTAAAAAGCTATTTTATGCGAATGACTAACGGTGAAGTATTGTTAAATTTGTTAAAAAGAGAAACAGTACAGTTGAACGGTGTAATTTGTTGATGTCAGTGACCGAAAGCATAACCATTACTGAGATTGAAAAAACTTTAAAAGCACTTCAACTAATTTTGTTTAGTTTGATAATTTGCTCACTTCATGAATATTTAGTACAGATTAGGTTCTGCTTGGTGGTCTTCAAGAGACAAAAAATTTAGAAAAAATTTTTTTATTCGAGAATCCGATGCTGCCGTTTTGTTGACGTTGGATTAATAGTGTTTTAAACCGAAAAAACTTTTGGGAAGCACGAAAGCAGCACGCTTCACGCTAAAAAAGAGGCCTCTAGAACACTAAAAAAGAGAAAATTTGGGATTAAAATTTCTAAAGTCAACAGAGAACTTAAAATTTTTGGCGACCCACTTTGTTTGTTTAATTGGTCAAAGTTTTTTTCTCATCTCTGTTGAATCGTGTTGCCATAGTGCGCTTAGTTTGCTTACATACTCGTGCTGTTTACCATTGTATAAGTGAAAATGAAAAAAGGCTAGTGTTGGTCACTCATTCCATTTTTTGCCGTATCTAAAGCTGTAGTACGAAGTTGAGACTGTAAAAAAAAGCAAAGCAAACAATAGCGTTGTGCGGGACGAAAAATAAAACTGCCAATTTCAGCGAGTTGATCAAAAATAGAAAAAATTGGAGTTTCAGACTTACGATATGTTGATGTTTGTTTTTTTTTTCTTTTTGTTCTTTTCTTAACCCCTATTTACGAATAATATCTGTAAAAATATGAGCGTCTAATGAAAGAATTTTTATATTAAATCTTATTATTACAAATCTTAACGAAGTCTAACTGTCGATGTTAGCGAATCGATTGTGATTTGTGACTGTTTATTTTCTGCCTTTCTCCACTCACCACACTTGAAGTTTATTTTTTTTGTGGTTTTTTCTTTTTTTTTTCTTGTCCAGATAGAATCACATCAATAATTTTTTTTTAGTTACCTTAAACACTATTTTTTCCGCTTTTTTTACATTTCTCATCGGTGGGTTTCTCAGTCACTAACTATTTAATTGTTGCGTTTCTTCTTCTTTGAAGTATAGCGTAATCTGTATTTCCTTCTACTGGTTCTGTATCAAATTTTTTTGTAACTTCCGATTAGGCGGTAGAGTGAGAAGCAATATTTATTAGGAGAGTGGGGAGAAACTCTTTAGTTTTCTGAACATGTACTCATTTTGAGCTACAAGAACTGGAAGGTAAACAGGAAAACGAAATTAAGAAAGAAAAAGAGCTGTAGCAAAAAATGTGGTTTTGGATAAATTGGGGCAAACAACTTTACTTCCGCGTTTGTAGATCTTTTTTTTTCTCTCTTAATAAAACACCGTCCCCTTTAAGTCAATAAAGTTATAACGATGAAGGGTGGACGATTTACACACATTTGTACCCGGAAAAAAAATGATGCCGTCTTTTCGGGAAAAAAATTTTTTTGCTAAATTTTAAAGCAAAGATGTCCTCAAACAAACAAATAAAAAAAAGGGGTCCGCTGAAAATAATCAGAAAATTAACTGTTAAAACTCTCCTCTCTTTTACAAAAGAAGAGCTTCCATTATGAAATTTGATGTGTAGGATTACTTTCGATAGGGACGGAGTAAAAACTGAAGATAACAGTGTTTTTTCTTTATTTTGCCAGTAAATGTGTTTGTTTTATCCGTTACAGTAGGCAAAAAAGAAAGCTGTGTTCGAAACTAAAAAAAGAAATCTAATGCTGCCACTCAAGCTGACACAGGCCGAAATTCTAGCCATCTACCCATAGACTTCTGCACCTCCCAGCGACAGCGTCTCGCTCCTCCACCACTCTCTAAAACTCTATTGCTGCTCCTTATTGTCCTGCACAGTGTTTTTGTTGATTGTTGTTTGGAATTCTGTTTGCAACAGCGATAATGAAGTTGGTGCTTTTTTTCCTCACTCTTAATTTTACTTGAAATGCATTTTTTTAAATGTGTGTGTGTTTGTGTGTGTCTGTGTGTCTGTGTGTGTTTTTGCCCTTTTGATGGATTGTAAATCTGCTGTTATGACTATTATTATTGTTATTGTTATTATTATTTGTGATTCACGGACTAATAACTCCAATAGTCTTTTCTTTCTTGGACTATTATAAAGTGTTGTTAATTTTGTTTTTATCCCGTCGAAAAATAGTTTTTAATGGAAAAAAGGAGAAGGGGTAAAAGTCTATTATTATTCATCTTGGTTGTGTTTGGTTAGCATTTGGCTTGCGGCCGTGAATAAAAATTACGCTCAATGCTTTTAAAATAGTTATTCTTTTCTTCTGTTGTGTACGTGTGTGTCTGTGAGTATCCAGTTCCATTCAGTCATTTTTCATCGATATTTCCCAGTGAGAGTAAGATGTTTTACGTGGACTGCTGTGTCTGCACCGTTTCCAATAATTCTTTTTTCTTTTCGCTTTTTACCTTTTTTTTTTTCTATTTCTACGTATTGGTTTTCTGTATCCTTCATTACTGATGGTTCCAGCCCTTGAAAAAAATCCAAAAAGATGTTGTTTCAATTTCTTTTTATTATTCTTTGAGAATAAAAGGAATTGCCTTTATACTAAAAGTTTTCAATTTTCTTATTAGTTGTTGTAAAGTTTCTGTGCTAATAAATTGCTACTAACTCAACTATGTTTTTTTTCTCCATTTTCTTGAAAACCAACTGTTACAGTTTTTTCCTTGCACAATTGTATTGGGCTTTCTTATTAAGTTTGATCTAATTTTTTTTTGTTTATGATTTTGTATAAAAAGAAAAAGAACTTTTTTTTTGTAATTGCCATATACCCTTCCCACCTTCAAATGTTGTTCACTTCTGACTTTTACATTTATTATATTATTATTACTATTAATATTAATATTAATATTATTATTACTTCTATTACTACTTTTATTTCTACTATTATTATT